GTAGGGGTTGGAAGGGACCTCTGTGGGTCCCCCCAGTCCAACCCCCTGCTGAAGCAGGGTCACCCAGAGCAGGCTGCACAGCACCGCGTCCAGGCGGGGCTGGAATATCTCCAGAGAAGGAGACTCCACAGCCTCCCTGGGCAGCCTGGGCCAGGGCTCCGAAGTTGAAGGGATCTGAAATTCGTGCCTGAGCTGGTTCTTAGCTCCACAAATGGCAGGGCGTTGTGGGGAGAAACCTCCCCGGGGTTCATCCAGGTCTGATACCGGCTCAGATGTTTATCCAAAGCCCTTTTAGTTACAGAATCACAGAATAGTAGGGGTTGGAAGGGACCTCTGTGGGTCATCTAGTCCAACCCTCCTGCTGCACTACCTCCCTGGGCAGCCTGTTCCAGTGCTCCGTCACCCTCAGAGGGAAGAAGTTCTTCCTCATGTTCAGATGGAACTTCCTGTGCCTCAGTTTGTGCCCATTGCCCCTTGTCCTGTCACTGGGCACCACTGAAAAGAGCTTGGCCCCATCCTCCTGACCCCCACCCTGCAGATATTTATAAGCATTTATTAGGTCCCCTCGCAGCCTTCTCTTCTTCAGGCTGAACAAGCCCAGCTCCCTCAGCCTCTCCTCGTAGGGGAGATGTTCCAGTTCTACAGGCTTTGATTTATTGGATTAGCAACGGTACGAGTACAGGCTTTTCTCCACTGTGACACGACCAGGGATGCGTATGGGTGTGAACGCTAATAAACAATCTCGTCGTTTCAAACGCCCAAATGGTAGTTCTTCACATGTTTTGGAGGAAAACTGTAAAAAAAAATAATCTTTATCTGAAAGGACTAGACGGCATCCGTCGGGGAAGGGCAAGGCTGAGTTCTCGCTCCTGGTGCAGGCTGGCTCTCGCTCCCTGCGCCCAGCACGGCTCGCACTAGGTGGCATCACGCATCTTCCTCTGGGATGGCCTTCCTCTGGGATGGCCTTCCTCTTCGCTGCCTTCCTCTCCCAACCCCAACGCCAGTGCTGCCAGAATACCGGGAATTTGGGGTGGGCCAACACGCCATCCTTCCTCTGCCGCGCTCCCCCGGCGTCCTCAGCTCGGTTGACTTTCCGCCGCCCGGTTCGGCTCCGTGGGCGTACGGCCGACGTCGCAGCGAACGCGAAAGTCAAGGCTAAGCTGGAGGGCAGCGTCGTATCGCAGGTAAAATGTGAAAGCACTTCGGGTTTTATGAAAGCTCTCTGCCAGTTCCTGTGAGGTTTCGATTCATCTCCAAGGTTTCCTGCATTAGCAGGACCTGTCCCACTCATCACGAAGGTCTGGGAGCGTGACTTCTGCCCCAGGTTCACATCAGAAGAGTCTGGTTGGAAACTGCACTGGGCTGGCATCACTTTTGATTAAAGACACGACACAAAATAGCCCATCATGAAAAAATATCTACACCTGTTTTAAGCACATTGTATCTGGGAGAAAATCTCAGTGCTTCAAGTCCTGCAGACATGATTATTTTCTTGGTTTAGAAGTTGAACTGCCGTGGTGCCACAGAACGTCTTTTACTTATTTTGAAAAATTTTAAACAGCTCATTCCGGTTTCTAAAATAAAAATCCAATGAAACAGCAATAAAATAACGAACCGATCTGTCCTGGCAATAGAAGATTTTTTTTCTGAAAAAAAATCTGCTTTGAATTTATACTGCCTTGCCACTGGTCTCAATTTAACAGTTTCTCCTTGTGATGCTGGAAGGCTGTGATTCCTCGGTCTTTTGATAGAGTTCGTGAAAGGACCACGTACAGAAAGGCCACCTCATTTTTCACTTCCCAGCTGCGCACCATGCAGATGAACATCGGACAGAGGAGGGTTATGGGGAGAAAAGCTTGCTGAATGATACCAACCAGGAGAAGGTGCTATTCCACAGCAGTCAGATGAAGTATTGAAAGGCAATAGTTTTGCATTTTCCTTCTAAGGACCACAACAAGCAGAGGCAGACACACCTCTGAAGTTGTGCATTGCAAATACTGAAATTGCTGATAAGCCTCAGCTGCCAGAAGTGGACAATCAATCACCCAGGAGATGAACCCCTCGCTCCATCATCCCAAGGAAGCAGCTGCGAACGGCTCCGGGCTCCAACGCAGCAAACAGCCCGACCCGCCCGAAGAGCCGTGCCAACCAAACCCACTCCCACAGCCCCCGCCAGCGACGCAGACCCCCCTCTCCCCTAAAAAAAGGGTATTTAGCCTAGTCAGGAGCCAAATCACGGTCTACGTCAGTCTGAGATGAATATGGACTTCAGTCAGGAGAACACAACTGGCCTGATGACACCAGGAATAGGAAACTTATGGTAACGGCGTAAGTGCCAGCAGCCCGATTTCTGCTTCTCTTGTAAAGGCAGCGAGGAAGAGCGAGGGAGGAAGGCCTGCTTCCTCGGACACGCTCGTTGCCCGCGGCTGTGGAAGGCAGTCCTACCTCAGGGGCGACAAAGTTGGCGGTGTAGCAGGGTGTCATGAGCAGCCCGTTCTCGGCTCGCAGCTGCTTGGCAAACCCAAAGTCGCAGATCCTGATGGAGTCCGGGTTTCCCGACTCATCCATGTAGAGGATATTGCTTGGCTTCAGGTCCCGGTGCACCACCTTAACGAGAAAAGAGTGAGTAACGAGTGAGGAGAGGAGGTCAGGGAGCATCCAGGCTTGACTGCCGATGCTGGTCTGCTGCTCGAGGTAGGTCAAGAGCTCATGCCTCAAATATTTAAGTTTTGGAGAAAAGCTGCTTTTGCTTGGGGAAACAAAGGAAAAATAAAGGCTAAAGTCTCTTAAAATCAGAAAGAACAGGTTCAACGTGCCTCAAGCTGCTTTTTCTTGGGGAAACAAAGGAAAAATGAAGGCTAAAGTCTCTTAAATCAGAAAGAACATGTTCAACGTGCCTCAAGCTGCTTTTTCTTGGGGAAACAAAGGAAAAATGAAGGCTGAAGTCTGTTAAAATCAGAAAGAACATGTTCAACGTGCCTCGTGACAGCCTCTGCTGGTGTATTTAGACGGGGGCTGCCGCTCTAAGGGGGGGGGGCCCTTCTTGAGGGTGGGCAGAGGGGGCTGCTCCACCAACACCTCGCTGGTAGATGCTCCTGGAACCCAGCGGCCCTAAATACTCAGCTGGAAGGTGGAGAAGAAATTCCATCATAGGAGGAACATGTGTGTAAGGGTCTGGAACATGTGTTTAAGGTGAGCGGCTCGCAGCTGAAGGGGGGGATTATTTTTTTGCCTCGTTGCAAAATGTAGTCACAAAAACCCCTCCTGTAGACACGCAGCTTCAAGTCAGCCAGACGTGCTGCGTTTCAGTGGCAGAAAAACAGCCTTTATTCCTTATAGCAAGACCGAAAAACTATCATGAAAACATATAAGCCCAAGCACAAAATGCACTTGTTTTAACCATGAAACAGAAAAAGCCGGCAATATTTGACTGCTCATCCAAACCGCTTGTCCCTGAAATGTGGAAAAGCAGAGATTTTCAAACTGCTGAATACAGAGAGCTTGGATTTTAAAAGCCAGCTCTAACAGTACGTCAGAAAACTAACCTTTCCCCCCTAGCTACCAACCCCGCCACTCCATTCGGAAAGCTGAGTGTTTTATTTTCTCCCTGTCTGCTGACTCAGCGAGCCTATTTTAACGGCTGTTAAAAGATCAGGTGCTGCAATAAGGACTGCGATAAAAAAGTCAACAACCAATATCTCAACAAAGTACATGAACTGGAAAATCAGTGTAATCTGGAAATGAAAATACGGCTTCAACGTAACTGCAGTTCAGCTGGGAAATGGCTAAAAAGTCTATAATTCTATGTCACAAACCAAATGTAATCATAAATATGGAGAAAGGGGTTTTTTTTGAGGGAAAAAAAGTATTTACATTTCAGAGAAGCAGAATCACAGCTCCTTGCTTTTTCTAAAAGTCGGATTTTAAGAACATCGGTATGGATATCCAAACAAAGCAGTGCTTACCCCCTGAGAGTGCAGGTAGTCCACGGTCCTGGTGATGGTGCAGAGCACAGCGCTGGCCTCCCGCTCCGAGAAACACTTCTGCCGAAGAATGCGGTCCAGGAGCTCGCCTCCCCGCATCAGCTCCATCACCAGGTAGACATATTTCCCATCGTCGTAGACCTGGAAGAGTAACAGAACAAAGATATGGTTTGGATGCATTAACTTGGTGACAGATGGACCTTTAATCGCAGTTTTGGCTTGCTTGTAGGAGATGTTGCTAGAAGTCCAGCGGAGGGCTGCGAGGATGATGAGGGGACTGGAGCATCTCTCCTACGAGGAGAGGCTGAGGGAGCTGGGCTTGTTCAGCCTGGAGAAGAGAAGGCTGAGAGGGGACCTTAGAAATGCTTCTAAATATCTGCAGGGTGGGTGTCAGGAGGACGGGGCCAGACTCTTTCCAGTGGTGCCCAGCGCCAGGACAAGGGGCAACGGGCACAAACTGAAGCAGAGGAAGCTCCAGCTGAAGATGAGGAAGAACTTCTTCCCTCTGAGGGTGACGGAGCCCTGGCCCAGGCTGCCCAGGGAGGCTGTGGAGTCTCCTTCTCTGGAGATATTCCAGCCCCGCCTGGACGCGGTGCTGTGCAGCCTGCTCTGGGTGACCCTGCTTGGGCAGGGGGTTCGGTTGGGTGACCCACAGAGGTCCCTGCCAACCCCGACCATTCTGTGATTCTGTGATTCTGTGAAATGCACTTCATTACGCTTAACGACAGAAAAGGCAACTTTATAAAATGACCTGATCATCACTTTTTTTTCTCCCGTCCCGTAGCAGCTTGCTGCTTTGTCCCCACAGCAACGCAGCCGTCCTGATCTGCTGTCACGTCAGTGGCGCAGAGCAAGCTGCTGACAGCAGCCCGAAGTGTCTGCTGGCTCTCACCCAAGCCTCCTGCTCAGTCCCGCTCTCGCTTTCCACTTCTACAGGGCAACATTTGCCATTGCAAATATCAATATTTCCCTTTGACTCACTGTCAGCTAAATGAACTGTTATACTCTTGGCCAAGACCTGCATCCATTGAGACCACGGAGTTTGTATTTGCAATTCTGGTGACTGTGTTGCTGGCATCAGCTGCGAGATGTATTTACCTTCATCACCAGCTGCAGGGGTTAAAAGACACGTTTTGTCTAAATGGGAAGATGGCCATTTTCATGTGTCATCCTATATCTGGACTGCAATCATAGATGGTGTTATAGTCATCCAGGCTAGGTGTTTCTGGAAAGGACTATAAAACCTTTTATTTCATAGGTTTTTAGAAATGCTCTACTACTTAGGAATCAGGTGAGACTTTCCTGAGGGTATGTGATTAGAAATTTTTTATGTGCATCTCTAGGGTCTGAACCATAACGTACTGACACCGTGTGGGCAATCCTAGGTGAGACCGCAGGCAGCGTAAGCAACACACTTCTGGCTAGAGGTCAGCACTGCGTGTGAGCGTAGCGAAGACTCTTCTTCCTATGAAATGCTGAAGGAAGAGATCTTCTTGTCTTCTCAGGCTGCTCGAGCAGAAGGGAAATACTCCCTGGCGTTAAAACGCTAACGAGGGAGGCCCTCGTGAGTGTGTGAGGTGTCCTCTTCCCAGCCAAAGGGCTACCACGGGTGGCATGGGAACGGCTGGGGCTGGCGATGGAGGAGCCCCTGCCCGGCGGCACCTCGCTCCAAAACACTCCGCGAGGGACGTCTCATGTCTTCATGCTTCGTTGTTCTCCAGCACGGCGGCCCTTTGGTTTTACCTACTTTTTTCCAGTTAGACAGTGACTGGAAAATGCATAACCCAACCGGTCTTTCCAACTGCTATCCAGGAATGTGTGAAGTCGCCTTTTTTAACTTGATTTCAATGGGTCTGCTTTTAGCTCCAACCTTCAGCTGGAGAATTTTCCAGATACAGACTAGTAGGTGAGCCTGACCATGAGGTGAAAATCATTTAACGCTGAAGTACTCAAAGACTACTCACGTCTTTCAGAGTGATGATGTTTGGATGCTGTCCATATCGCAAGAGGATCTCAATCTCTTCGGAGGGGTCTCTCTTGCTCTTATCAATTATCTGGAATGAAAGAAGCACAGTGTAGCGAGATATGGGTTAGCAGCGCTAAGCACAAAACAAGCAACTTCTACAGTTTAAACAAATGAATATTTAAAATTCTTCTATTAATCATTATTCTAGGAGAGGACAGCTCAAACGCTGTGCAAATGAGTGCCACGCTGACTGTCTGCCAAAGCCAGATGGAGCAATAATTAGTTGAGATTCTGAAGGCGTAGGTCTGCATTTTGAAGCCTATAGGTCTGTGTGCCCGTAAATAATGGCAGTTACAAGAACCGTCATTTAGAAATCAATCAGCCTGGAGAGTTTTAAAATCACAATAGTTTTAAAATAACCTCTTTGATATGAGAAATGGGTATGTTCATATGACCGGCATTTGCTCGTATATCTGCTGATAAATGAATAGAAATTACTTGTCGGGTGGGTTTGTCAGAAATGCAAATGTTAGAGACATTTACTGTCCAGGGAGATCTTAGCTGAAAGTATTTGGTAGTCACTTGTCTCTGTGGGCCGTGGTGTAATGAACAAGAGAGTGGCCAGAGGTTGCATTTGGCCATCTGACCAAACCCTGCCCATCCCCAAGCCAGAAAGCAATCTGCTCTATAAATCACTTCTCTGTATCCAGCCTTCGCAGTGAGACATGAAAACTTTTTAGCCTGCTAGCAGCAGGTCTCAGAAGAACATCACAGCCGCTGCTTGGAGAGCATCATTGCATGGAAAGCCTGCTGTTAGAATCACAGAATCACAGAATGGTCAGGGTTGGCAGGGACCTCTGTGGGTCATCTAGTCCAACCCCCTGCCGAAGCAGGGTCACCTACAGTAGGCTGTAGAGGACCTTGTCCAGGATGGCTCCGGCTTCCCATCGACGCTCCTGTTACCTGTATTTGGGGTGCCAGTCAAGGAGCCTCGATCATTTGCCCGGTTGAGAGCACCAATTAATGGTTCTCAGTTTGCAGATTTGAACGATAAAATATCAAACAGAAAAGAGCTATAAAATAATCCAAGGGAGATCTCTGTATTTTGGCATCTCAAACGCAACTGCACAGGGAATGGCGAAAGACTCATTCTACCAGAAACTCATTAGGAGTAAAGTACCTTGGCGCAAACTTCCTATTGCTAGAAAACAGCAGCAGTACTTTTGAATAACAGGTTCACAGAAGAGGAACGGGTGGTAGTTTCAGAAATTCATAATTCCGTTATTGGCTTGGATTTCGAGGCTTCCAAGCTTAAATGGGGTTAGTTCTCCCTAAGAACTAGGCACAGAGTATGGGTTTCAAACAGTTGTGTCTGCAGGGAAACAACTTCTTAAAAATCCCTTTTGTTAATGAGGATAAATACCTGGCAGCCTTGGCCCTTGATCATTTATCACTTAAATGCTACACATTTAAGTACATGTCTACAATGTAATCACAGAATCACAGAATCACAGAATGGTAGGGGTTGGAAGGGACCTCTGTGGGTCATCTAGTCCAACCCTAATGCATCAGCCATAGTAGTGCACACTTGAATACGTGCCAGAGGTTTCACAGTCATCATGCCAGGCATGCATTTGCACTGCTAACGACGGTCCGTGGCTGTCCATGGTCAAGGTATGCATTTGAAGCCCCATCAGGGGTTTGATTCTAAATTAACAGCAGTGTGACAAGGTAAAGTGCAGCAGGGAGCTGATGCAGGCGGATGGCTATTCTCCACCTTTGAATAAACGAAGGGAAAAACTCAAAGGTGAATGGAAACAACGCTACTAATAATTACTCCTTAGAATAACGTCGTTCTCCCAGTTTAGGAAAGACGTTCTCAAAAAGCCAATGAAACCCTGATTGAATGGCTCCTCATAAATACAGGCACAGTCACTGAATGTGTCCCGCCAACATACAAAAGATCCTCAGGGCCACGTCCTCGGCTAAACTAAATCCAGCTCGTGTCAAGTTAGTGGAGGTACGTTAGGATCTGCCTGCCTTGTATAAACCAGCAGAATTCACTGCAGCGAGTATCACTACGACTGCGTGAAGTGGTCACTGTGGTCCTGTAGCAAGCAATATATTCCAGATTCCTCTTCTGTTGTATTTTCCTGTGAAACAGCCAGAGCCATGGAAAATTTTAAGCAACTATTAATAACTCAGGACTGTAAGTGTGTATATATATGGCCTAAAACAGTCCAAACCAAGAAGTCTCAGCTATTGACACAAAACTCAAAATAACACCAAAATAACATCACCTGAAGCAGTCTGCGACTGATTTAGCAGCAACAGCAGTAGATGAGGGGGGTTGGAACTAGATGATCTTTATGGTCCCTTCCAACCCAAACCATTCTACGATTCTATATGTAATTCACAATATGCTATATAAATATAAATCGCAACACAGTTCCTCTAAATACACGCGCTTCTTGCTTTAATATGTGCATAAGCTGCAACACGGCGATTAAATGGACAAGCTGTCCTAAACCACCCAACAAATCCTCGCCAAGGCTGTGAAGGGAGCTGCCAGATTGCTCACATGCAGGCCCTGGGCAGTCCACAGAATCACAGAATCACAGAATCACCGAATCACAGAATGGTAGGGGTTGGAAGGGACCTCTGTGGGTCATCTAGTCCAACCCTCCTGC